CCCCCCCCCCTCTGACCTTTCAGCTGGCTCCTTTTCCTCCCTGATACAACTGTGTTGTGTCTGTTATGTTATCGTCCCTTCCTCGTTCCTGTGCCTGCTTCTTCCTGTCTCTGAAGGTAGTCCGCAACTAGTTACTAACTGTGTGTGGTTGGCGGATGCTCTAGTGTGGTTTGCTCCTTTTGTTCCTATCAAACATCTATCGTCCTCTTCTCGTCTCGTCCTTTTTGTATTTTATATACTATGGCAACTCCTTTAATCGTGGGCACTTATATGGCCTATGTGTGTTGTAAGTGCCGTAAAACCCTTATTAGAATTAAAGTTACGAACTAGCGTACCTCAGTTGCAGCCCCTGCGATTTTCGAGTTCAGAATTTATTTTATCAGGTTATTACCACTCCGATGCTCATGACTCTTTGTCTGTAAGTTGTGCCACAATGATTTTTAAAATACATAAATGAAATGGTTGATACTTAAGTGATATCAATGAGAAATGTAGCGAGCAGACAGTGAGTTTAAGTGCTTCAAGAGTTACTATGTCTCAGACTCACACAGTGATCCGAGTCATGATCTCCGATGATTTCTGTTTTGCTGTATAGAAAAATGTGGGCTAAGGGATTGTATTGTCACCAAACTTCAGGATGCCAGTTCCTAGAAAAATTAAATTGCAAGTCTGATTCCCTATAAAGACTTCTCTGTTGACGCCCACCCCTTGGCACTTATATGGCCTATGTCAGTTGTAAGTGCCGTAAAACCCTATACTAAACAAACAAACAATAATCTTCTGGCGCTCATATGACCTTATGCAGTTGCGAGCGCCGTAAAAACACTAACAAAAACAAACATTAGTAGTTCTAAAATCGATATGAGTAGGCTTCGGCCGCCAACCGGGCAAAATTCAAAATACATTCCTACCAAACTGAAAATGTTTAAATGTGTCCCGCGCGCTCATAAGGCCTTATGCAGTTGCGAGCGCCGTAAAACACTTACCAAAACAAGAGCTATGTCATTATAGTACGCTTTCTGGCGGGGAACATAAATGTGTCAACGCGCGGTGGAATCAAGCGCTCGTCAATTTTTGGGGCATATTATTATTAAGCTCATCGACGCATAACAGCAACAGAGGATGAAAAAGAAAAGTATTATTATTAAGGAGTAATTAGTAAAATCTTAAAGCGTGTTCGTTTGTCTTCCTTTCGATGAAAAAATACCCATCTATCCTGAATAGAAGTCATGATATTTGAGGTTGAAGGAGGTGGGGTCACCTGGTGTCAGGGGCGTAATTTGGTGAGAAAATGACCACCAAGGTTTGGTGAATTCTAAGGCTTGAGAGTCCTTAGAAACTGCAAATTTACATTTTGTGCCTTTGATCAACGTTTTTCTGTAAAATCCATATCCACACGTAATTTTTGAATGGGCATAAAAGTTTTTAGCCTAAAAAAAAAAAATCAATAAAAATTTATTTACGGGTGGGAAAATGTCGGCTTCTTCGATTTCATCATTACGACGAGCGTCTCATTTCACCAAGATGCCACATTGTGTGTAGGTGTGTGTGTGTGTGTGTGTGTGTGTGTGTGTGTGTGTGTGTGTGTGTGTGTGTGTGTGTGAGTGTGTGTGTGTGTGTGTGTGTAACATAGAAAACTTGTATAGAATATAGAATTTTAAAGATTAATATTATTCCTTTCTCGAATATGAAAAAGCACAGACGTAGCACCGGCGTCTGTGTTGTAATGGTAGAGCCCCTCGCCGTCGGACGCAGATTATAAGAGTTCGACTCCCGCACTTGGGAGTTTTCATAGAGTATCTCCGTCTTCTGGCTGGGGCGCAGTATCCTAGTCACACGAGGAAGAGAGACAGACAAATAAAGAGAGAGGGAGAGAGAGGGAGAGAGAGGGAGAGAGAGGGAGAGAGAGAGAGAGAGAGAGAGAGAGAGAGAGAGAGAGAGAGAGAAGAACACCCACAGGAAAACAAAGATTTAAAAAATTAAATAACACTCACCGTGGCCACCGCCTCCTTTCCGAACTTTCTTCTGCAGCCGCATGGTATCCGAGGCGGCTTTCTTGATCTCCTGCTTGGCCTTCTTGTACTCTGTCGACACAAAAAATACATCGGAACATTTATTTTTAAAATAGCAGTTAATTCAACTTTGTTGAATCTGAAAACATTAGAACTATATATTGTGTTCTTTCACAAAATATTAAATTGTCATACTAAACTGAACTTTGTTGACAGCGAAAACATTGGAGGGCTCGTTGACAGGGAAAGTACCAGAAATATTGGAAACAGCTGACAATGATATTTCCCAACAGTTAACAATACTATAAACGCAAAATATCAGAACAGTGAATAGCGCTGTCAGCACTGAAAACGTCCAAACAAATAATAGAACAGCCTTGTCACCGTACGAGCCATTCGCATTGGTTCAATGGCCTACTGGACACAGGGGTCGTTTCAAAGGTGAAATATACGCTCTGAAGTTCGGGGAGAGGAGTCCATATTTACAAGACTGGACCTTGTGCCAAACACCAGTACGAAAGAACGCTAAAACGGAGACAGAGTAGGTTGGGAGACAAGATGACACTTTTCCACAATCAAAAGTAAGGTCATCTCTCTCTCTCTCTCTCTCTCTCTCTCTCTCTCTCTCTCTCAACTGTAATATATGACATTCACAAAGCGTATTCGGGGGCTCTCGTGGCCTAGAGGTTAAGGTGTCGGCCTCTCATTCAAAGGTCCCGGGTTCGAATCCGGGTAGTGATCGAAAAAATTTCTTCTCTAAATTTGTCTCCTTTCACCTCCTTTCCTGCTCTCTCTAGCAATTTCTGTCGTCTGCTTTCGTCTCCTCTTTCTATCCCCACTCCCTCATCTTCTTTGCCCCCCCTCCTCTGGGCTCCTGATTTTTTCTACAGCCTTTCTACTGCTACTCCTTGGCTTCTTCTTACTGCTGTCTTTCAGCCACACCCCTGGTCTTCCGGTAGGAAAGATCTACACCTAGCCTTCTCGGACAAGGGCGAAAAATCTCGGAGG